TCTGTGAAATCTCTGCCTGTCTTCTCATGGCTATAGAGGCCGCATGTGAACTCTCTGCCTGTCCTGTCATGGCTATGGAGGCCATCTGTGAACTCTCAGTCTGTCCTGTCACTGCTATGGAGGCCATCTGTGAACTCTCTGTCTGTCCTGTCACTGCTATGGAGGCCATCTGTGAACTCTCTGTCTGTCCTGTCACTGCTATGGAGGCCATCTGTGAACTCTCTGTCTGTCCTGTCACTGCTATGGAGGCCATCTGTGAACTCTCTGTCTGTCCTGTCACTGCTATGGAGGCCATCTGTGAACTCTTTGCCTGTCCTGTCACGGCTATGGAGGCCATCTGGGAACGATCTGCCTGTCCTCTCACTGCTATAGAGGCTGTCTGTGAACTCTCTGCCTGTCCTGTCACTGCTATAGAGGCCGTCTGTGAACTCTCTGCCTGTCCTGTCATGGCTATGGAGGCCATCTGTGAACTCTCTGCCTGTCCTGTCACGGCTATGGAGGCCATCTGGGAACGATCTGCCTGTCCTCTCACTGCTATAGAGGCTGTCTGTGAACTCTCTGCCTGTCCTGTCACTGCTATAGAGGCCGTCTGTGAACTCTCTGCCTGTCCTGTCATGGCTATGGAGGCCATCTGTGAACTCTCTGACTGTCTTGTCACGGCTATGGAGGCCGCCCGTAATCACTCTACCTGCCTTGTTACAGCAACAGAGGCCGCTGTTAACCTCTCTGTGCTCTTTGTTCCAGTTATGCCTGATCCACCTTCTGCTCTACTGTACCAGCCATCTGCTCTTTTGTGGTGGTCATCTGCTCCATCGTGGAGGGCTTCAGACCCATTTGCTCAGCTGTGGCGGTCTTCAGCTCTGCTCCGGTGGTCCTCTGATCTGCCTGCTCCGCCCTGGTGATCTTCAGCACCGCCTGTTCCGCCCTGGTGGTCTTCAATGCCGCCTGCTCCGCCTTGGTTTTCTGCTCTGCCTTGGCTCCGCCTTGGTTTTCTGCCCCGCCGGCTCTGCTTTAGATGCTGCTCTCATTTATTGGAGCAGCAAATCTAAATTATATTTAGCTTGTCAGTCATCACAGAACTGCTACTTCAGTTCTGGACAGAATTTACAATTGCATGCCAAAATTCCTTTTGTTTTTTTCCTAAAATGATTATAACATAATATGAATTGTAATTTGCAATGTTTTACAGTTGCTAGGACACATTTCTCAATACTTAATTTCTCAAGTCATTTTTTCAAAACTCTTCTCACAGTTCTCCTAACCAATTCATGACCAATTCAGCTTGGAACAGCAGTTAATTTCACATCCAAAATGCACTAAAAACTACTGAAACACTTCATTCATGTCTCAGATCAACTCATTCTTCCATAACACTAGCAAAGGCTTTCAACCAACAAACTGCCACTCATTAAACACAGACCTAAAAACACTGACAACAGGTAGCATTTTACAATGTTTGCTTTCATAAAATTTCATTACAAAACAAGAATGACAGTTCTCTACTGCTTATAATTCACTGCAGTATATGTTACATAGTCCGTATTACATTACAATTCAAAAATTATTCCTAAGTTTTCTCCTTTTGTGTAGATGGTAATGAAATTGAAAGACTAACACTTTTGTAGGTGTTCAACTATATCAAATTGCTTTGATCGTATTTGTTTTTTAAAAATTCACAATATATTTCAATGTGGTGTTACTGTAGAAATGTATCAAATTTCTGTTTGTTTAATTTTTGTATTATACTAGGTTTTGAACTCAAGTTTAACAGTTTTGTTAAAGTTGGAGAATATCCTATTCATTCGAATAGGAAACACCGATCTTTAATGGAGACAAAAAACAACCCGCAGTATAAAATTAGCCCAAGTCTGCGGGGAAACCGAGCACTTGGCAACACTGGATTTGATTTAGTTTAAGACTGGTAATACAAAGATAGACTATATATCTGTCTATATATGTCTGACATTTCTGCTGCATTGACAAATTAATATTATATTAGAACATGTACTTAAAACTGGTCTTTCTCCATTGGAAATGCTACAAAATGTTGTAAAATTTGTTTGAATGATGTTTAAAACTGCATTTAGCATAATTTACCACCAGGTGGCAGCAGATTTTTTTTTTTGTACACTAGAAAAACGCCCCGGTTACTGACGTAAATTCGGTTCCCTGAGATAAGGGATGAGCATTGTGTATGGGAAAACTCCTGTTTTACTCTGTACTGAAGCCTGATTTGTTCACGTTTGTGTAGCTGCACAAACAAAGGGCGGAGCCGGTGATTGATGTAGGCCACCACCGTCATGCTGTCCGACCGGACTAAGACGTTGTGCCCCTTCAAGGTCGGAAGGAAGGTTTTCAGGGCTAAGAAAACCGCCAGCATCTCTAGGCAGTTGATGTACGGATGCCACTCCAGGATTGACCAGGAGCCAAACGCTGGATTGCCCTCCAACAGGGCGCCCCAACCTGAGTTGGAAGCGTCTGTTGTGGCTACCTTCCTCTTGGAGGTCAGCCCTAACCTCATTCCTGTTTGAAACCCACTAAATGTCTCTCTCTGTCTTTAAGGATACTCTCTCCAGTGTTACACGTGCTCATCTGCTCAGGAGGTTACCTGTGAAGCAAAAGTGCAGATATGTGGAGATGGATTTTCCAAATGTCAAAGCCAAACAATAGAACATCATGCGCTGCCATGGCCAAAACCTACAGTGAATCAGGTTTAACTATAAGTGGGCTACAGATAGCTGCTCTGACTATGAGCTAAATCGTGGCTATGCACAGGCTACGTATTGAACATGTCAAAGGAATCAGCCCAATTGGTACTTAAAATAGCCAATCACGGCCATAACTAGGTTAGGGAAATAAATGATACAGCCAAAACTTGATATCGATACAGCTACGACCAGATTGCTCTGGGCATGCGCACTTCAATATTGTGCAGTTTTTGTCACGCTGAACAACGGTTATTAATTTCTGTATATTTGCATTATTGTAAGGTTAAATTTAGGGTTGGGGTAGGTGTAGAGTAGACATTAATAAAAACATCTAATAGGAAGCAAATTTAATTTATTGTTATTTTCCGGCCATAGCTGTATCCCTTCTAGCCACAACCCCAAAACTAGCCCAGTCACCCATTTTTATACCATACTAAAATGAGGACGTCCCCAAATGACGGTTTTGCCAGGTTTAGCTCACGTCTGGGTACAAATTTGTCACCAAAAATGGATAATTAGGCGTGTGCACGCACACACACAGTTCTCTGAAGTGAATTAGTCATTACTGTAATTATTGGAATTATAGCAATGCCTAGCAACTCGGAACACCCTAGAAAAGCATAGCAACCAGCCAACAGGAACTTTTCTAGGTTTAATAAATAATTAATAAAATAATAAAATAAATTTTTATATAAGTAATAAAAATGTTCATGTTAATAAATATATATTCAGAATTATAGTATTTTATGTGTGTTGTATGGTAAATGCTGTTCCATGTAAGCAATAAATGAAAAATAGCGCATAAGTTAAAATACACAGGACAAAAATAAAATAAAATAAAGTTTCTTTTCAGATGTCTATTACCACTATGTAATCTTCTTTTTAGAATGTGCATCAATTTATATATGCTTCCTTTTATACAGTATTGTAACAATATGACGATATAAAACTAAACCATAAAGAGACTTACAAGACTTACAAGAAGCATTCTGGTTACCATGTTTGTTTTTCCTCTTTAGTGATACCCACACAACCACAGACACTCATTTCACACATTCCACTTACATGCACCACACACACACACACAAACACACACAAACACACACACACCACATTCAGACCACATTTGCACTGTGACGCACAGCACACACTGATGCTTCTCTTCTGTAATTCTGAGCTCTTTTAGATGAAATTGTAACAATAAAAGTTAAATTGATCTATAAAATATAGACTGACTATCATACAGGGATAAAGGCGTTCAGTTTATTAACGGCTTTGTGAATTTTTTTTTTCCCCCTCTAAAAACACTATGGAACACTATGCAACAAAAACCACAACACCCATTTCACTATGCGATGAAAACTCAATTGACCATCGCATGCAATGACTAAAGGTTAACTGACGTCACTTGATCTAACATGTTTCAGGCTTGTGCAGCTAATGAGAATGCCTGAAATTATCATACATATGTTCAGACAAATAACTTGTTTAGGATTTTAACTTTTGATGAAGGTGATCAAGGTGATTTTGCTATTTTGGTAAATTCTTTAATGTATGTCTTTGTCCTCACTGAAGCTACTACAAAATAATTATAATACTGCCATTTATGTGTCAGTTCAAGATAACACATGGCCAAAAGCATGTGAACACCTGACCTCTCATATGCTCCAGTTGAACGCTTACTGTGTAAATGAATTCAGAACCACAAGTGTTAATAGGGAGCTGATCCTCCCTTTGCTGCTATTGCATCTTTCAGTCTTTTAAGGTTTTCCAATAGATGCTATATCGAACCGACATCACTGAGGCTTCACTCCTGTGACTTTCTTTTTATACAGAACTACCTGTTCACAACAACAAAAAATAATAATTATCATTAATTTTTTTTTAACTTTTGGTCAGCCTGTATTAAGTTGTAAAATACATTGATGTAGCTTAATTTGTCAAACTGGGGTGTAAATAAATATATATATATATTGCATCATGTTGCAGGAAAAAATGCATAATAATGCTTTTGGCCATTATAAAGAAAGTTCTGTTCCATAAGTTCTGTGTTCAGCAATCAGGCCCTTTTAAAATCTGATTCTGATATTACAGAGGTTTAGTATGATCAATTTTGCTATTTTAATGTCTTGTCATTATTGTTAACAAACTGGATTAGGTAGACCTATTCATTTCAAGGTTATTTACATTAAACGTTTCATTTTTAAATTTTTCTCAAAGTCCCTCCCCTTCTGATAAGCTATAAAATGGGCACTGCAACAGGCAAGTTATTTCATTCACCTCCTGATCAAAGATGGATCTACAGATCTCAGTTTTTCTTCTGTTCGTTCTTTTCACTGCAGGTACAAAGACAAATAGCTTGATTGATTTATTTAAAAAAATTTTTTTTAAAAAATCAATGTTTCTCTTTCACTGTCTCTCTCATTTATTACTAAAGGACACTCTCTCAGCTGTTATGAGTGCAGCAGAGGTAGTGGTCCTATGGATGTTTCTTGTTCAGATCAAGAGGTAAACACATGCCCCACAGATTTTTCCAAGTGCATGAGTTACACAGTAGTAGAACAAGTTGGCAAGTCCATTATGATGTTTTGAAATTCACTGTTATAACTGACTGATGAAGATGCTATTATAATTTACTGGAGCTGCAACAGTGGAAATGTAACTTCTCATAGAACAGACAGAATTGATATATTCTTGATTTCTGTTATTTAGTTTTTCTCTCAGGTTGTTAAATGTTTGTAACGAAAAAAAAGAAAATAAAAGTATTTTCATTTTTTGATTTGTAGCTGTGAGTTTTGCTTGTTTGTATGTTTTTAACTCTCGCTGCTTCTTTGACATATTTATAAATAAACTGTCCGTCAAAATAATGTGCAATGTGGCCTTTCCTGTATCATTCATGTTTTAGGGGGCATTACTGCTATGTCAAGGGGTAAAGGCTGTTTTGATAACTGTCATAGTGGTTCCCAAAATGTTGGCTTTCTAAGGAATGTCATAGAGTGCTGTGACACAGACTGGTGTAACGCCCAATATGCTCCAGGTATTGCACTTTACTGACAATATGCAAATGAATATCTTCTCTATAAGTCAACACTTATTTTACTTCCAAAGGACATTTAAAGGCAGGGTGCAGCTTGGCAGTCATGATTGAATAGAGCTATTTCATTAGATTTATTAGATTATATTTTGTACAGAAAATAAAATAAAAGAATACTTTTTTTTCCTCCTGTAGATCCCAGAACTATGGTCTCTAATGGAAAGAAATGTTACTATTGTGATGAGAAGAGCTGCTCAAACATAATGAGCTGTTCAGGCAGTGAAGACGGCTGCATTACAGTAACACCTAAGAATCTGAAGGAAAAAGAAGTTTCAAGTCATTATTTTTGTCTCACTATCATCATTTTAAACATTTGATACAGATGATACCAATTGCTAGCTTAGACTGAATTAACCTTTGTTTTCTGTCTTTTCATCAGGGAACTCCCGAGGCCAGCCAAGGGTTGTAAAAGGCTGTATCTCTAAAGAAATTTGTGATTCAATGGTTAGCAGTGCGGAGGTCATCTCATGTTGTTCAGGGAACCTGTGTAACAGTGCTGAGAGAATCACTCAGAGCTTCCTGTTCCTCTGCTGTTCTCTGCTCTCCTTCATCCTGCTGCACTGAATCCAGCAGCTCTTCACATTCTACACTGAGACACACTGTACTGAATATAGAGCTTGTACTTTTTCTGTACTATCTCTAGTGTCCTTATGTGATTTGTTTGATTTTAAATGTTATGAAACAATATTACATCACTTTTCTTCTGGGTTTATATTTACTAAAGCTTGTCATGCTTCAGAGAAGTCTGAAATATATTAAGTACTGCATTATGTTCATCAATAATTAACAAATAATTGTGTCTGATTTTTCCTCATTATCTTTTTGTGTGAAACTAGCAGACTTGGCTCATCTGTATAGGTGCAATTCAGCGGCTGTGCCCCTGCAGAGCCAGTGGGCGGAGCTTGACATCCAGCCCATCTCTCTCAGTGTAATGGGTGGAGCTTGAAGGTCCAACCACACCCCATAACTAGGTCAAGCTCCACCAATTTGGCTCTGCAGTGAGCACCACAAATAGGCCTACGTCTCTATAAATGGAATCAACAATACATCGTAATTGTGTTCAGCATTCTGCAAATAAAAAAAATTTCAAACGATTTATTAAGAAGACCTCAAACTTGCTTACACACAATCTATAGCAATGCAAGACAGACAGATGCAAGTAAAAATAAACAGGTATTATCCAAGTTTTCAGCAATTTGTTACTGTTTTGTACACATTGTCATAATTATAATTCAAATGCATTTTGTTTTATTGACCACAATATTATAGTTGATAATTGTTCAGAGAGGGGCACTTTTGGTTAATTTTGAAAAAAGGGCAGGGGCTTGAGTACCCAAAGAACCCTCTCTGCACATGCCCGACCTTCACATTCAGCTTCACTGTTCCAAAAACAGTTCTTCTATGGCATCAGGGCAAAAACCTCCTTTTGAAACCTATTATTATATTGCAACAAAAACCACAGTGAGATATCCCTCAGCGCCTGCTTGTCATTAAAGGGATCATATGATGCGATTTCAATTTTTCCTTTCTCTTTGGAGTGTTACAAGCTCTTGGTGCATAAAGAAGATCAAGCCCGCCCGCCTCTGCTCACTCAAGCCGGCCTTCGCTCACTCTAGGCCACGGCTCCCGCTCACTCTAGGCCGCTGTGTGTGACGTTGTGAAAGCGAAACTACTTTGTTTGGTCTTCCAAAAGAGGACAAAACTAGAAATCAGTGGTTAAGCTGCATTTACAACACTGTTCCAGAACAGTTCAACCCAAATATTCATTTGTGTGCAGCATATTTTCTG